ATTTAGAAGACGTGTAGATGAGGTGCTTAGGGACATGGTTTAGTGGGCATGGTGGTGTTGGGTTGACGGTTGGACTCGATGATCTTAGAGGTCTTTTCCAACTTTAATGATTCCGTGATTCTATGATTCTTTTTCTGGAACCAATGTAGGCGTTTTGGTTCAGGCTGAGACTCAACTGAAACATGTTACAACACATCAGACTCACTAAAATTATGGCTAAATCAAATAAGAAAAACAATATTATTTATTTTTATATCACCTTTAAAGATTAGCAAATATTAACTTGGCAGAGAACTGTTCATTGCAGCATCTCCTCGATATATCAGTTAATATACGTGAAATCTTGACCACTTCTGTGGCAAAATCTATTGACTTTAATGTACATCATTGTTAATAAAATGGGAATATGGCCTGAGAAATAAGCTGACACATGATATTCTGTTACATAAATGCATGAATTGAGAGAATAATGATATTTAAAATGTTCAAATTAGAAAATACTTTTTCCAATATGAAAATCTACATATGCTAGTAACAAGTGGCAAAACATTGGAATTCATGCCTTAAACTCTTATACAAAATACCATTGTAACTACCATAAACAGCTGCTGTAATGTTACATGGAAGGTAATTGCACTATCATTTAGATAGGTAATCTTTTGATTTCAACAATTAGAACTTGAATCTAAAATGGCTATTTGAAACTACACAAAAGTATAAGGAACACTACTAAAATACATACCAGTTGCTTTTCTGAACTTTAAGCCTCTATCCGTTCTCTGATTTGTCATTGAATATAGTTTGATGGATAAATTATACTTACGCATAGAGGTATACTAACTCTAATAAGGGTTGTTTAATAAACTCTTCAGCCATTCTGGTGTAGAAAGCTCAGTAAAATTTCCCTTCAGTTCCTTGTCTTCAGATGAAGCTTTCAAACATCAAGAAACAAATAAGGTACAAACTCCCATTCCCCAGAGTTGGCATCATGGGATCATTGGGAGATCATGAGAAGATCATGGGAGAATTACATACGAGTTCTGAATTCCCCTAACTCCAATAACCTTTCCAATCTCATTAAGTAAGGAACATTTTAGGGGAAAAAAATCACATTGAGTTCTATCTTAAGCTGTGGCTTGATTAAATATTTCCTTTGGCAACAGTACTGGCTTAACTAGCCCACAACTCCCCCGTTGCTCTCCACAGAATGACTGGCTTAAAGAATTAACCCAGTCAAAAATAAGCTCTAACAGCCACACCAACGCTAAGGAGACCAGAATGAACAGGGTGGCAGAATGTGTTAAATCAGTACTTATGAAAGAAATATTCCTTATATTGCTCCTTCAAAATTATCTTCTAAAATTGATCTAGTCATAGACTGTGAAACACCATTACTCATTCTTGCACAGGTATCTGCTAATTAAGGAGTCCAGTCTTTCTTCAGTTATATTATCCAAGCCCATCCCAGAAATCATGATATATGACATGAAAAATTAGATTGGACCAAAGCCAGTAAGAAAAAAGAGCAGATGCAAGGACTCTTTGCCATCCTTTACTGAGAGACCTACATAGAAGGTTACAGATCGTTTCTCTTTGCTCTGCGGCTTCCATGAGTATTTTGATCTTTATGTACCCTAGCACAGCATCTACAGCACAAGCTGCCCAATAGTAAGGGTACTGGTCTGAGACATAAAAGTTTGAAAGACAGAGTTAGATCTACGTATCTCACTTCCAGGTCAAATGCAGTAACCTTTAAAATTCCAAACATTTTGTACTGACTCAATGCTCTAAACCACTGGAGAAAACAGGCGATGGTTATTATTGTTAAGAAAGCTTAGGTGTTGCTCTTCCTCATATCTTGACTCCTGTGAGACTTACACTGCAGCTGTATGCCAGGCAGCTCAGGTGGAAGCATTTCTGTGTCTAAGCAGAAAGAAACGAAACCGCAGACAGGAAGAGCATTTTCAAGAAGCTGTAAACATAGGCATTTTGAGATTTAGGCATTTCTGGGGTAGGATTATACACCTAAAATCTGCTCAACTCAAAAAGTATGAGTCTGTCTTGAACCCGTACCCTACCACAGTACAAGATACGAATTGGATACCCCAGAATCCAATTTTGACATACTTAACATTGCTCCCAATAGCAAATGGTAAATTTTGCTACCAACTTCAACATGATAGATTGCGTACATGCCACAAGGGGTTTGTTTGTTTGTTTGTTTTTTTAACTTTTCAGTGGGAGTTTTATTAGAATGAATGGAGGCTTCACAATTCTTGTCAATTGTCAGTCTTTGAATTTCCTGTTTCAGTTAGTGTAGGCATTAATCGCCGCATACTGTATTAACATGGTTCTTAGAACTTTGTAAACAATCTTGCTGGACAGTCATCTAGTGTTAGGAAGTGGCACTTTACATCTGTGTCAAAAGTGAAATGGCTGTAATTGTAAAAGAACAAAATCTAGGCAGAAAGAAAGGATTTTGAAAAATTAATAGCTTTTGTTCGCTTTTGTTTGTTTTCAGCTTGCTCACTGTGATCCTGCCAAAAAAGAATGAGTAATGGTGTTTCACAGTCTATGACTAGATCAATTTTAGAAGATAATTTTGAAGGAGCAATCTCTTTTAGCTTCTCATTGCCCATTCTTTCCCTTCTCCAGACCCAAACACTATTTCATATTTGCACTTACTGATTAATGTATGTACGTAGAAAATGTTATGCAAAACATACATTTATTTAAAGGATAACATAATAGAAAATCTCACTTGAATTTTCAAATTTGATTTAACCATTCTGACATTAAGCATATTTAAGTCCAAATCTTTCTACACAAAGACTTACAAACTGAAGTTTACCATATCCTAGTGTAAAGGATTCCAAACACAACTAATCACAACTGAACTAAGAATAAGACTGAAGAACTAGTTAAACTTGCATGGTTTAGTACTAATAAACTTGAAATAGAAGAGTGAATTTTTTTCCAAATGGTCCATTTAATAATTTGAAGCACTGATATTTGCAAATAGATTTCTTAAAAATATATATCTATCTCATTTTAAAACAACAGCATTGCAAAGCATAAATAAATTTGATTTGAAAGGAAAATCATCTTCTCTGCAGAATTGAACACAAAAATAGGCCAGCACCTCAGTCACTACTAGAACTGTCTGAACTATCAGAAGACGAACTTTTTTCCTTTCGTCTCTTCTTTTTCTCCTTTTTATGATGTTTTCCTTTCTTAGATTTATTCTTTTTTTCCTTTTCCCTTTCTTTTTTGTGTGATTTTTGTTTTTTTGACTTTGGCCCATCCTCTTCAGCTGCACTTGATGAGGAAGATCTAGTAAAAATAAAATATATATACACACAGATTGATATGCAATTAAAGAAGGAAAATTATTACCCCACAAGAATAATGTGGGGGTTTTAATTTCAGTATTTATATAATGTCACAAATCAAATTTGGTGTAGAATTCGTACAGTGGCATCCACTGGAAAGCTTATGGTATCTCAGTCTGCATGTTCAACTGAACAGTGACTTTTCTAATTAAGACTATTGTGCCAGAAAAGCAGTATGTTTACAATACAGATTAATTAACAATGGAATAGGCAACTTGTGTGTTTTTCAACCTTCAATAAGAAAAGGACTAAGAGTACAGACTGACAGAAAACTGAAAGTATGACATTAAGATAGAGCTTCCAGCTTTTAAAATATCACATAATCAATAACGATGCTACAGAAATGCCTTCAGGCAAATCTTAATGTATTTCTTTCATGCAAAAATCTAAGAGAAATAGGTATGACAAATTTGGATGCTCTTGCAGCTGGTAATATTGGTCTAACCAGCAGTGATGAGTGAATACACACATACAAGAATTAAGATGACAATAAAAGAAAAGTCATGATTATTACACTCAAGAGGGCAGTTTTGTGCTATTGTTTACATGATTAACTATTAATTACTTGCATGTAAAGACTACAGCCAGCAGACAGACTCTTTTCTACTGTCTTCGTAAGTGTAAGTTAGAGCTACGCTACATAAATAAGGGGAAAAATGCCAATACAACCAGTGTTAAATCCTGTTTCTTTATTTCTGAAAAACATCTTATTGTGGCCTCCAAATACATTATACATTTCCTAGCTCTCGGTGCAGTTCCTGGGATATTGTCTCATCAACAGTCCTAATGACTAACCAGCCTACAGTCTCATCTAAAAAAATCAGTCATCAGGCCAAAACTCAGATTCACAATAAATTTGGGTATTATGACATTTTTCTTTGAAATTGGAGTAACATTTTTTTTAGGATTCTACAATAACAGGATCATTAAAACTCAACACCTGCTAAGCTAAGTAAAACTACAGAAGTTTTCCTTTTGATAGCTACATGTTACTCAGAGCGTGTGTATGCATGTGTGTGTGTGTCTACACAAGCACGTGTGCACGCAGGGAATCTTAGGGTCTCTGAACTGCAGGGAGGCTTCTCCATGCGAGCTAAGCTGGGGACCAACCCCATAATCCTCCTGACTCCTTGTTCTTTTCCTACCACATCTTGCCTAGTGTTGGATAGTCAGAGGGAGCATTGCTTTCTCAGACCTGCAGCCCTCCAGCTTGATAGAGCTTTCTAGACTTCTGTGGTCCTAACTCAGCAGAAAGCTTGTGGCTTTACCATTACTAAAAAAACCAAACAAGTTCTCACTGGAAAACAGGAAGCTTTTCAAACCAAAGATGTACTTGCAAATAAAGTTGCATCAAAAGATGCAGTGTTTTCTGAGAAACAACGCAAACGTCAGAAAAATTTTTAAAGTTCTGTTTCAAAATTAAAATTACCTTTTTCTTGGTCTCTTTAATTTTGTTTTTTCTTTGCTTTTTCTTTTTTGTTTCTTTTTTTCTTCCTCCTCATTTAAATCTATGGATAAAAAGTTACAGTTTACAAAACGCTTGTCTGAATTAAGATCAGCATTAAAAGAGTGGCTTCAATAGCAATGTGAAGTTACTACAAAATTCTTGTTAAAAGTTTTTCTTTTCCTTCCTCCAAATTCTGTTCTCGTATAGTAATTTCAGAAATATTTTGCAGAGTAGCAGAACTTTTTATACAACTTACATTCTAATGACTTTGATCTAAGCACTAAAAATGAAGGAACGCCTGTAAAACATAGTAAAAAGTTGTGACTTTTCCTATATGTTTACATCAGCTTTAGGTTTTCATATCCGTTCTTCTGTATTTTAAAAGACTTGCCAAAGTCTGAAAACATTTAACTAGAATGTACAAAAAAGAGTGTTCCCTTAGGCTTACCTGAATTACTTTCACACATCCTCATTTCACACTTCACAAATAGCTATGCCATAACTAAGGTAAATTTGTCAATATACTGTCTACAAAAATTGGCAGAAGAGTCACCCCTTATCTGGTCATGTTTGTTTCCTGCCCTAACACTGTATAGTATTGTATAGCATCTTCAAATTTCACTTAACAAGCAATATTTTTATCACACTAGATGAAATTTCTGACCTTAGACTTTTCTATACCATTTCAAAAAGTATTTCTGAATTCTCTGAAACGCAAATCACATACATAAATACACATTACAATGTCAGCTAACAGGAAAATACTGGCTTTACAATTTATCCTTAAAACAGATAGCTAATTTTGAGCATTTAATCTTATTTCTATCATACAAATAACTTTTCATAGAGTCTGCGTGCCAGTGCAATTATTTATTTGCTACCACAAATAGAAATTACTGGTCTGTATGTTCTGGAGAGAAATTTGAAAGAATTCAATATAAGTTACAAAAAGCAAATTGCTTTTGGAGCAATTAAAAACCAGGAACAACAATGTGTGAACAAGCACAGTATTTTTTTAAGAAAACCATGCAAAAATCTAACTGCAAACAGTGCAAAATCTTGAGAAGATGAGGCCACTTGAAAATGGCAAAGTCCTGCCTAGATTATTGACAGTTGAAGATACATATCTCCTTACAGTACACATAGCAGCCACAGTTTGAGAAAGAATATATAATAAAAAGGGATATTACAAGATAAAGTAAACAGCTGTTTTCCCTGCAGATATCCATCTTCAATCAGTTTAGGGCAAAAAAAACCCCTTACATCCAAAAGTACATAATAAGTGGGGACAAGTTTTTCCAAAAAGACTTGTTCCAAGACAGAACTGTTGCAGTACCAATTCAGCACTCCTGACAAGCAGACTATCCATTTCTTTTGAAGTGTTCCAGCAAATTACAAGGTTCTATCTATCCTTTCTCCTTCCTAAATAGCATTTTTAGTAGGAACTGAATGTAGAGTCTGGAATACGAGAGCAATAGAACAAAGCATAATGTTTCAAGGGGCAGAGGGGAAGAACATTCATTCATTTAAAACATGCTATGGTGGAACAACCTCCCCTTCTTACTTAGGGGAACAGCCTCTTTGGAGTCCAAATTCAAATGAACTCAAGTATCTGCTAAATAAGCCATCTATTCTCTCTCTGACAAACAGTTGATGCTCAGACCTTCAAAACACAGAACAGTACTTCTCCAAATATGAATGTTGAAATTCAATTCAGTAGCTCTTCCAGTCAAAACGCTACTTAGAAACTGGAGAGAAATTCAGCTGTCATAATTTGTCATTAGTTTTAAGAGTTACTATCAACTTTAAGATGTTTAAACTACATGCTATAATCAAAAGATTAACTCGGAACATCCATGTCATTTTCTCCTAAGCAGCTTCTTAGTAACAGCCTTCTTATCTCTTGTGTTTAGGAACCCTTTTTGAGATGTTCCAAATGGGTACGTTATTAATTTCCTATGACAGGAATTAATAATTAAAAAAAAAAAGATGTAGGTGTATCAAATCTCTGAAGTCTGAACACATGAAGTAAAAGACCTACTTTTAAAGCATAGGCTAAAAGAAGTAATAGTAGTTATCAAAAAGAATAAAATGAGAGTTCCAGTACTTCAGACGACCATTAACCAATTTACTCTTTAAGAAAAAAAAAACAAAACACCTTACTCTTTTTTTCACGCATGGCTTGCAATCTCTGTAGTTCTTCTTCTTCACTGTCTTCACTGCTAGTGCTGCTAACATCTAAAACAATATCTCTTTGAGGATCTACTCGGAGGAAGTTTCGACATTCAAATGTCAGATGGCCAGCTGAACAAAACAAATATTCAGAAAGAAAAATTACAATTTACCAAAAAATGTCAGAAAATAAAGAACAACCATGTTAGCACTACTCAGTTTTGAGAAGTGAAAAAAGGCTAGGCTGCAATCTGTGAAAAAGGAGGGAGAAGGCTTACTTTGAAAAAGCCTCAAAGAATTTTGACAAATTCTTGTGCAATGTTATTCCATTTAATAGTGCTTTATGACCTGTCTCCTATTTCTGTTAATGTAAAGATTTTGTCCAACCTTTACTTTCTATTTTTTAATGGTCTCAGATCCTTCCTGAAGAAATGACCTAAAAGCATGAAGTGAAATATTTAAAAAACTACAGCAAGTGTGTTATATCACTCTTTTTGTCTTCCTCTAGTGAAATAGAAGAATCCTATTTGCTTATGAGACATAATCTTTAACAACCAGTACATAATACTGACTAAGCTACTACTTGAGTAGTATTTTTAGTTTTCTAAGATACATCTCAATAATCATGACCAGAGTTAGAAACCTTGTGCTGAATACAACTTTTGGAATAATAAAGAGAAATAAAACAAATTGAAGATACAGTTTGGGAAAAACTAAGCTAAAGACACAGGAATTCAAGTAGCAATTGAAATAAACTCATCTTCTTCATATCAAAGTACCTACATCTTGAAGACAGAGCTTTTAGGAACATAAATACAGGTTGTGTGATTTCACTACAAGTTTCCTTCTCTTCCAGAAAGCTTCTGATACTTACTGCATGTAGAAATGAAGCACTAAATCTATATTGATATCCATGTTCCTTTGGAAGAACAGATACACAAAGATACAGATACACATTGACAAAATTTGTTGGAGACAAAGTCTACAGTGAAAGAACGAAGCAAGCTTTTTTCCCCTTCAACCCACATAATGCTCATAAAAAAGATAGATTAAATCACTGTTAAAAGTTCAACACAATTCACTGCAAAACAGTGTCCACCCCCCATCGTTCTAAAAATGAGAGTTAGTGATTAACAAATTAAAATCTTCTCTAAGACCTGTCTCCATTTATCAGGAGAGTAGCCACAGACATGCTCATACGATCAGAGCATAATGCAAAGCATGAGCTAAATACTAACTACAGAACTTGTAGGCAACAAAGTTAACTGTTTCTTGAAATACAGAATGCACAAAGAAGTATGTTTTCTTAGCGAAGAAGATCATACAGATTTTAAATTATTTTTTCTCTTAAAACTTGAGCTGAAATGCTTGCCTAAGTTTGCAGTGAGACTCAGAAGCACAAATGCTAATCTCAGTAGATATCAAAGACTATGTTTTCAATTCAAAGTTTCTCAAGTAATTGCATTGCAAATGTAGTATATATGAATACAATAGCATACATTTTTTTTGTTTCTGAGAAACTCAAGGGTTTTCAAAAGCAGCAATAGACGTGAGGAGCCAGAGCATGAATAAGAAATAAATACATTTAAAAATTATGGTAATTTAAACTGACAAACGTCTGGGCAACAAGGGAGAACACTTCTTTTTTATTTTTCCCCCCTCCTCAAAAGGCAGTTCCAACATCATAAATTGAAGAAAACACTGTATCTTCATATTGCTCACTACAGACTTACGGTAGCCGCACTTCTTGCATCCTGCTCTGATGTTATCCTTATTTCCACCTGAAAGAGAAAATTTCATCAGTTACGTGTTACTAAACAGAACTCTCAAGTTTCTTTTAAATCTGGCTTGATAATGTCAATACACAGACAGGAGTGATCACTCCTCAGAGTATTAAGTACACTAAGATCTCTTAAAAAAACTTAAAAGCAAAACAGTGCATTTCTAAGGTCACTTTTCTGTACAGTAATCTACCAGAACAAATTTGGCTAGTATAAACTGCTGCGGATCATTTAGTTTCACATAACTTACTGCCAAATCCTCATTTGATTTATTATCACCTTTCCATTATAATTTCAATAATTGTTGCACTTCTCTGAAAGCTTATGCATTTGTTTAGTTACAGTGTGAACACGGTAATAGCTATCTGACATTCCAGTTGTCATGGTTTAACCTCTGCCAGCAACTGAGCACCACACAGCCGCTCGCTCACTCTCCCCCCGCCCCGGGTGGGATGGAAGAGACAATCGGATGAGTAAAAGTGAGAAAACTCATGGGTTGAGATAAGAACAGTTTAATAATTGAAATAAAAAAAAATAAAATAATACTAATAAAAATAAAAATATACAAAGCAAGTGATGCACAATGCAATTGCTCACCACCTACCAACCCATGCCCAGCCAGTCCCCGAGCAGCGGTCACCCCCCTCCCCCCAGCCAGCTTTTCCCTAGTTTATGTACTGAGCATGACATCACATAGTATGGAATATCCCTTTGGCCAATTTCGTGGCTGTGCCCCCTCCCAGCTTCTTGTGCACCTCCAGCCTTCTCAGTCAGTAGAGCATGGGAAGCTGAAAAGTCCTTGACTAGTGTAAGCACTACTTAGCAACAACTGAAACTTATCGGTGTGTTATCAACATTATTCTCATGCTAAATCCAAAACACAGCACTGTACCAGCTACTAGGAAGAAAATTAACTCTATCCCAGCCGAAACCAGGACAGTATCCACCCCCCTTATTCTATACCATCTACATCACGCCCAAGTCCCACGCTTTCCAATACATTCCCATTAATCACCACCCCTTTTCCTGTCTTTTGATATATATACACACAGATAGCATTCCCTTAGTCTATGGGCTATCCCTATAAAATGTCCATTGAGTGCATTTAGTCCGTGACTTTGGGCTCCATCTGTCATAATAGTCTTTCAGGGCAGGAAAGATGAAGATGGTATGCGGTGTTTCATGCTGAAGTCAGTTCTGGTTCCATCATCACTGCACTTCGCTCAGTTTCATCAAAGTTCATTCTTCATTAATTGTAATACCATTGATATGGCATATAATATTACATAGCAATTAACATCATATCATTCAGATAATTGGCTATTCTCACCCAAAATCAAATCCCCTTGAGGTACACATCGGACTTCCCCATCCTACCGCATCACCCACAAAGTGCACCCAAGTCCTTGAGCAAAAGCAATCCCATGGATCGGTTTGCCTTTGCCCGAGGCAGGAATAACCCAGACTGTCTTCCCC